AAAGAAACCTGGAAATGGTAATCGGGGCACCCGAACAGTACCACTTTGCTAGAACATATCTCTGGGTGTATAAGTCGAAATTGAGTGCCATTAGCGGCATTCAAAACTAGACATCCGTAGCTTTTTAACGGTATAAAAAATCACCCGCTAGTTCATTTTGAGTCATCCGTAGTGAGTTGGCAAAATTTGCTGCCCTGTTATGAATATCTGTCCGAGAGGACATGAGAAGCCGCAACTTGTGGCTTGAATTCGAACTACTTGTGAACTCATTTTCGAAACGTTTTCTTCTGATAAAATGTGGCATTTTGAACTTAGTTTCCAACATCACCAACCATTCTTAATTTGAACTTGTATTAAGTGAGTTATGGCCTAATTTTAAAAGTACGATAAAGCTTGAGAACTAGAAAGCTTTTCTTTCTTGCTGGCTGACTGGTCTATTTTGTTGTGGGATATTTTATTTCAAAAATTTTGATGTTAATCAACCATCAAGTGTTTATTAAAGGTTTCTAGGACCTTGGTTTCAAAAATGGATCGAATTTGGACTGATTTCATTGTGCAAAATGTTTGGAAAAGAAATAAAAGCAAGAAGGCAGATTAGCTTTAAAACATTTTACGAATTTTACTCATTTTGTTAACGGCCTTCCCACGTGAATTTTTACATGAAATTTAATACTGGGGTAGTCCACATATAGAGGTTTAAGTGTACCAAATTTGGTGATATTTCAATAATCTTTTGATATCCAAATGATGCTACAAAAATGGCTTTTAAAATCTGGAAATTCACTGTTTTAGTGGTGAAAATTTACCGACTTTGAACTGCTATATCTTGATACTCAAGATTTCAAATTTAGTTTCGTTTGTCATGTTCGAAACTTAGTTTGGAACTCTTATTGTGCTATAAATTTCAAGGGCTGATTCATTTTCTATGAATTATGTCGAATTTCCAAAGATGACTGCAAAATCAAGACTGGTTCAAACCTATCCTATTAGAACTGAATCTTTGAATTGAAAAATGAGTGCTTTCCGTTTAGAATTTGGAAAAGTTTCTTCCAAGGACTTTTAGTACTTTGAACCAAGATTCCAACGGTGTAAAGCTTTCCATTTTTGGACCTATTGAGTACAAGTTCTGATTTTCCTAAATTTGACGCGCAAAACTGAAATTCTCCGACTTGATGGGAAATGAGTTTTTGAAAACTTTTCCCTATCTTTTGATATTGATTGATCGTTTTAAACTCGATTTAATGGAGGAAATCAGTTTCTCTTGTGTTAATAAATTCTCACTTTTGAATCTCGATTTTTGAGTGATTAAAGTTCTTTTTTGAGACAATGACTGGTCTAAATAAGTGTACCTTCTTCCTTGGTTAATACATGATTGTGAGTGAAAGTGTCTTGTTTTTTGATCAGGCGCTCAAGGAGATCTTCAAGAAAATCTCGAAGAGAATGCCTAAAGGCTTAATTGCACGCTCACTCACTTTTATTTTGACTTGGTGAGTGTCAAGTGTATGGAGTGTTGCTAAGTGCTTAATTGTTCTCATTAATTGAGTATTTTGAAAGTGTTGAGTCGAGTGTATACTTTATCTTACTCATTCTCTTTTAAGTGAATTGTACTTGAATTTCATGAAGTAAAGTGTTGCAATAGTGAATTATGCTATGGTTGCATATGTGGATTGGAGTGAATCTCCTCGACTTATAGTGATAATAGTGGGGGACGCCCAAACTCATGGCCGACATTGCGACGCGAACCGCATGGGCTTGGTCGTGAAGTTTGTTGAGCCATGAGAAAATTTTATAAGTTTGATCTATTGGAGAGATCTCGCTTGGCATATTCGAGTAGTATCGCCTTATATAAAAGAAGTGCGGGACCGGAGCAGGAGGTGTAACGGTGAACGAGGAAGTGTAAGTGATGTTCTACGGACTTATAACCTACCCGATTGACGGAGTGTCAACTCGTGGAGGTACTGGATCGAGCAAGTGGAATATAGCTCCTGACAACTCCCATATTCTTATCAAGTGTGTTTTATTGTTAATTGCGAACTACTTGAATGTTATAACTTTAATTCTCGTATTAGTGCTGTTGTTATTTGAATACGTGTTTGCATGTGTGTTTCTTGGCCTCACGAGCATCCGCTCACCCCATTAGCTTTGTTTTCCTTAATAGGAGTTGAATTGGAAGGAATTATGGAGAAGTCAACTTGTTGGACTTATGGTTAGGGTTTTGAATGTAATTGTTAAAACAACTTTTGGAGGTTATATATTTTGGAAAAGTTGATGTATTTTGAAAACTATGATGTAAGATTGAGCACTTGTGTATGGAAGCGACTTTCTTCATATCTTCGACTTGTATTGTTTGGTTATTTATCTTAAGTTTGGATTGGAATCGTATCGACTCCTGGCGAGAGTTGGGCTGGCGTCCCGTCAATACCCTAGGGTTCGCCATTGGGAGAAATGGAGGCGTCACAGTTGGTATCAGAGCCCCAGGTTTAGAGATCTATTTGGGAGATATATTAGAGACTTTACCTTTAAGAATAGGAATGAGATACCATAGTTATACCTTGAGTGATGTTTGAGCGAGTTAGTGACTTTAAGTTTCTAACCTAGAAATTGTGGATGTTTTGCAGGGATGGAGAATGGAAATAGAGGACACACTATTAATGGTAATGGTCATACTAATGGCCACATGGAACTTCTTAGGCCTATTTACTATTGAGCGCTTGATGGAGGAGCCCGTGTGCGTTACTCACCCTACACTAGATTTTCCCGATGTCTCTGTAGGGTGACTTACGCGTACCCTAATGACTTAGTACTGTCTCTTAATGACGAGCGTCGTCAATTGGTGAATACCAACTGAGCTTTACTTTAGGAGGTCGTGAAGCCGAGCATTATGATTAACGCTTAGAGCGCTAGGGTTGCAGAGCTCGAGAGGACTGTGGTGGACGAGATGGCTAAAGCTGAGGCTGCTCGTGATGAGTTTCAGAGGGTTAGAGCTCGATTAACTATGATAGGCGAGGAGGTCCGGGATCGGCCTTCTGAGATCTTGGCAGACGTTACTATGTTGATTGATAAGGTCATGGAGGTTGTTCAGAGTCCGGTTCAAGAGGGCATTGAGGAGGAGACTTTCGACGAGAACCCTGAGGAGGATGTTCCGCCCGATAGTCCTGCTAAGGAATAGATTTAGAGTGATAGATCTTTTGACTTGTGTAGTTAGAATTAGATGGGGTGGTGCTAGTCTAAAAACCATTGTATTTTGCTTGACTGTGTGGCCTACTTTTAAGGCACTTGAACCTACTTTTGTCGTGCCTGACTAATTGCACTTTAGTGGCACCTGTGTGTTATATTTTTGTAAATACCCCATGACTTGCTAATTGTATGAACTTTAAAGTGTAAATACATGGTAATTATTATTATTTTTGATGTTTTCAAGTTGGCTCGTATATCAAGTATTTTCTCGCGCAATTATTTTATTTCTTGCATTAGGCATAACTAAGATTATGGACGGACGAATGAGTGGTCGAGGTCGTGGGCGTGGGGCTAGACAAACCCAACCTCAAGGGATGATTAGGGATCGGCAACTGGACCGACCCAGGGACTAGAAATTCTAGAGGGTAACCAAGTGGCTACTGCCATTAACCGGATGACTGACATCCTAGAACGATTAGCAGAGAAACAGGGTCCAGGGCCGCTTAACTAATCCGAAGCGTAGGATAGAGGTGATGATAGAGCCTTAGAGAGGTTTTTGAAGTTCGCTCCGCCTAAGTTTATTGGAGGACCTAATCCGGAATTAGCGAAGAACTGGTTGGAGAGGATGGCCAATATCTTCACCGCCTTAGATTATACAGAAGAGAGACGTGTGAACTTTACTGCCTTTCAATTTGATGGCGTGGGACGTGATAGGGGAAAAGTGAGAGAGAGCGCAGACCCCTTGGACTTGGAAAAACTTTACTCGAGAGTTTAATTAGAAGTTTCTTCCACCGCTGATCCAAGAGAAATAGGAGGACGAATTTATTAAGTTGAGACAGGGAACTCTTAGCGTGGCTGAGTATGAAGGGAAATTTACTAAGTTTTCTAAATACGCTCCAGAGTTTGTGGTTAATGAGCGGAAAAGGATTAGACATTTTGTGCAAGGGTTTAATGTGGAGATTCATGAGGGGTTGGCAGCAGCCCAAATCTCTATGTTCACTGAAACCCTGGAGAAAGCACAAAGGGTTGAAAGTGCAAGGTTGCAAGTTAGGGATTTCCATACTATAAAAAGGAACTTTCCTAGTTACTCCTTTGGACAAGCTAGTAAAAGTGCTCCACCTTCCAAGATGGAAAGAGGAATGGGAGGAATAAGGACCGCTGAAGATCCAAGAGGGGCTTTATCAAGAGGAGGTCGTAGTTGACAAGGTCAATCGAGAGGAATACCTTCTAGTGGTCCGGCCATAATTCCTCAAGTTAGTTGTGGCTACTGTGGCAAGCCAAATCACTCAGAGAATGACCGTTGGAGGAAATCGAGAAAATGCCTGTACTGCGGTAGTACTGAGCACCAACTTGTAAGTTGTCCTAATGCACCCAAAGTAGGAGGTAGTACTCAACGGCCAGAGAAATCGGCATCTAAGCAGACTAGTGTTAGAGGAAGTCGACCTAGAGTATCGTCTATGGTAGATGCACTGGATCATCAACAAGTTCCTGACTCTACTGAGGTGGTCGAAGGTACGATCCCTAGTTTTCACCGTTTAGCTAAGGTTTTAATTGATCCGTGTGCGACACACTCTTTTGTGAACCCTAATTTTATGAGTGGAATAGAGGTGAATCCAATTAAATTACCTTATGATTTGGAGGTTAGAACACCTAATGGGGAACGAAGTTTAATAGCTAACTTGGTGTACAGATATTGTGAGATATGGATTGGGGAACGGAAGTTACTGGCCGATTTATTGGGCTTAGCGATTAAAGGGTATGATGTTATCTTAGAAATAGACTGGTTAGCTCGGTACAATGCACAGTTGAATTGTAAGACGAAAATGGTAGAGTTGTGCATTCCAGGAAAGGCAACCTTAAAATTAGATGTAAGGGGTAGATTAGCCTCATCTGCTCTTATCTCAGGAATTCGAGCTAGGAAGATGTTGAGTAAGGGAGGTCAAGGATATTTGATTTTTCTTATAAATACCCCTAGTGATAAAGTGAGATTGGAAGATATGCCAGTAGTAAAAGAGTATCCAGATATGTTTCCTGAGGAACTAGAGTCTTTACCTCCAGAAAGGGAAATAACTTTTAAAATTGATGTGACTTCGGGGGTAGCACCTATCTCCAAGACGCTGTATAGAATGGCTCCAGCTAAATTGAAAGAGTTGAAGTTGCAATTGCAAGATTTACTAGAGCGAGATTTTATTAAGGAGAGTGATTCATCGTGGGGAGTTCCGATCTTGTTTGTTAAAAAGAAAGATGGGAGTTTAAACCTGTGTATAGATTATCGAGACTTGAACGATATAACCATTAAATATAAGTGTCATTTGTCCGACATTGATGAGTTATTTGACTAATTGCAAGGGGCGGTGGTATTCTCGAAATTGGACCTCAGGCAAGATTATTATCAATTGAGGATTTTAAAAAAAAATATACCTAAAACTACCTTTAACTCGAGGTATGGACACTTTGAGTTTGCGGTGATGCCGTTTGGATTGACTAACGCACCTACTGTTTTTATGGATTTGATGCATAGAATTTTTAAGTCTTATCTAGATCAGTTTGTAGTAATATTCATCGATGATATACTGGTGTACTCTAAGATCTTGGAGAATCATGAGAAATATTTGAGAATTATTTTACAAATGTTAAGAGAACATTAGTTGTATGCTAAGTTTAACAAATGTGAATTTTGGTTGAAAGAAGTGACATTCCTAAGTCATATAATTTTCAAGGATGGAATTAAGGTGGATCCAACCAAAGTTGAAGCGGTTTCTAAGTGGAAGCAACAGGAAAATCCTACTGAAATTCGAAGTTTTATAGAGTTAGCAGGGTATTACTGGAGATTCATCAAGGATTTTTCTAAGATTGGTGGACCCATGACTGAGTTAACTAAGAAAAGTGAGAAATTTATATGGAGCCCGAAGTGTGAAGAAAGTTTCCAAAAGTTAAAGAGACGATTGACGAAAGCATCTGTATTAGTTTTACCTAATGGAAAGGAAAGCTTTGTAGTATATATAGATATTTCAAAAGAAGATTTGGGATGCATCTTGATGCAAAACGGTACAATGATTGCTTATGCCTCTAGGAAATTAAAGCCGCACGAGAGAAATTACCCAACTCATGATTTGGAATTAGCAGCTGTAGTATTTGCATTAAAAAAGTGGAGACATTACTTGTATAGAGTGACATTTGAGGTTTTCACAGACTATAAGAGTCTTAATTATTTGTTTTCTCAAAAGGAGTTGAATTTGAGACAACGTAGATGGATGGAATTTTTGGAGGATTATGATTGTACGATAAAGTATCATTCAGGGAAAGCCAATATAATGGCCGATACTTTAAGTCGTCAAGTACAGGTGGCAAGATTGATGATCAAAGAATTGCACTTGTTGGAAGAGATTAGCAATTGGAATCCCCGACTCGAACTGAGAAAAGTGATTCTAGTAAACATTGTCGTGAAATCCACTTTGTTGGAATGCATCAAGGAAGCTCAAGAAAAGGACGTTGAAGTGCAAAAGTGGTAGGAGAAAGTTAATAAAGGAGAAAAGTCGAATTTTAATTCGGGTGTGAATGGCGTACTAAGATTTCGAAATCGTATAGTAGTGCCAAAGGACGAAGGGTTTAAGAATGAGATCTTGGAAGAAGCACATTGGTCTAAGTATACGATCCATCCTGGAGGAAATAAAATGTACCAAGACATGAAGAATTTGTACCGGTGGGAGAACATGAAAAAGAAAATTGCCCAGTTTGTCCAAACTTTCTTAATTTGCCAAAAAATTAAAATCGAGCATCAGAAACCATCAGGTCTATTACAACCTTTAGAAATACTCGAGTGGAAGTGGAAAAATATCACCATGGATTTTGTATCTAGATTACCTAGGACACAAAAAAGTCATGATGCAGTTTGGGTGATAGTAGATAGATTGACCAAATCGGCTCACTTTCTGCCGATTAGTATGAAGTACCCATTGGAGAAGTTAGCTAAGTTATATTTGGATGAAATTATAAGGTTGCACGGGATACCTGTAAGTATTATGTCCGATCGAGACCCTAGGTTTGTTTCACGGTTCTGACAGAAAATGCAAGAAGTGTTGGGGACCAAGTTGAATTTTAACACTACTTACCATCCTCAAACTGATGGACAGTCTGAGAGGACGATTCAAACTCTTGAGGACATGTTGAGAACCTGTATTTTTTATTTTGGAGACAGTTGGAGTAAGTATCTGACATTAGTGGAGTTCGTTTATAATAATAGTTTTCATTTATCCATTCAAATGGCTCCGTATGAAGCGATTTATGGTCGCAAGTGTAGATCTCCAATTTGTTGGGATGAAATAGGTGAACAAAAGATTTTAGACCCCACTACAGTACCATGGATTGAGGAGGCACGAGAAAAAGTGAAGTTGATACGTCAAAAGATTCAAACCGCATAGAGTCGTCAGAAGAGATATGCAAATAATAGAAGGAAGGATTTAGAATTTGCAGTTAGAGACCAAGTTTTTCCTAAGATTACTCATCTGAAAGCGAGTTTAATGGCAGGAAAAGGAAAGAAACTACAACTGAGATTTGTAGGACCATATAAGATTCTTCAACGTGTAGGAAATGTGGCTTATAAGTTGAAATTACCATCGAGTTTATCTCGGATCCATAATATTTTTCACGTGTCGATACTCAAGAAATATCATCCAGGACCGTCTCATGTATTGCAACCAGAAAATATTGAGATTGATGAGGCTCTGACCTATGAGGAGAAATCGATAAAACTTCTAAATCGTAAAATGAAAGAATTGAGCAATAAGCGAATTCCGTTGGTAAAAGTTCTTTGGAGAAACTATGGACTCGAGGGGGCAACTTGGGAAGTATAAGAAGAAATTCAAGGAAACTATCCAAATCTATTTCCAGATTGAGGTATGGAATTTCGAGGATGAAATTTTCTTAAGAGGGAAAGGATGTGAGGACTCATGTTTTATTCTTAAAATAGTTATTTTTATAATTAATTACCTTAATATTAGTTAATTATATTATCGTTACCTGAATCGTTTTTAAATTTCGCTCTATCGCGCGCGAATCGGAGGTTCGCCTATTTCGCATCAAATCGACTAAGTGGAAATTTAAGAAATTTATAAAACTACTAAGAGTGAATAATTATAGTGTTAAAGGAATTACATTTGAGGATTATTGCACAAGTGCAACAAACAAGAGAGAAAAGTGGTAATTCGGGATACTATTCGTGCACTATTCCTAGTTGACTTTTACATAGCTTTTGGCTACAAATTCTTAAAGCTTCCAAGAGAAGCTTCACTCAACACAAAACCCTCTCTCTTCTCTCTCTTGGAGCCGGCCAAAATAGCAAAAGAAAAGGAGGAAGAAGCTCCACTCCATCTTGCTTCCATTTCACTTCCAAATTTGCACCCAACTTGAAAACTACTTGGAGATTAACTTTAGCTTGGAGGAGGATAACATCTAGTGGAAATTCTTGGAGGTTTTTGTGGTGAAATTTCTGGTTTCTTCAAGGGCTAAGGAGGTAACCATCAACTCTTGCAATCTCTCTATTTTTCTTCAAGAATCAAGCTTAGATTTCATGGGTTTGACAACCCAAAGCATGAAATAGGTAGAGGATTTGAGGAAACCCATTTTATCTTATTTTAAATCTAAGCTAGCGAACTTGATGATCGCTTTAGGTAGCTGCCTTGAGGTGTAACTAGTTGATTGTGGTTGTTTACGTGTTATTTGAGATGAATACGGTTAGAAAGTAAAGGAAAATCGAAGGAAAGTTGAAAGTGCAAGCTGGCCGAATCTGTCCTGTGGTTATCTTGCTTGAATTTCAAATTTTTGTTGGTTGTTTGGCTGTGAAATTGAGTGATATATGTTGTATATGATGTGTACAAAGTGTCTTGCGAAAATTATTTCATTTGGTTGAACAAAACTTGGATTTTTAAAAAATTGAAAGAAACCTAGAAATGGTAATCTGGGCACCCGAACAGTACCACTTTGCTTGAACATATCTCTGGGTGTATAAGTCGAAATTGAGTGCCGTTAGCTGCATTCAAAACTAGACATCCGTAGCTTTTTAACGGTATAAAAAATCACCCGCTAGTTCATTTTGAGTCATCCATAGTGAGTTGGCAAAATTTGCTGCCCTGTTACGAATATCTGTCCGAAAGGACATGAGAAGCCGCAACTTGTGGCTTGAATTCAGACTACTTGCGAACTCATTTTAGAAACATTTTCTTTTGATAAAATGTGGCATTTTGAACCTAGTTTCCAACGCCATCAACCATTCTTAATTTGAACTTGTATTGAGTGAGTGCTGGCCGACTGGTCTATTTTGTTGTAGGATGTTTTATTTCAAAAATTTTGATGTCAATCAACCATCAAGTGTTTATTAAAGGTTTCTAGGACCTTGGTTTCAAAAATGGATCGAATTTGGACTGATTTCATTGAGTAAAATATTTGGAAAAGAAATAAAAGCAAGAAGGCAGATTAGCCTTAAAATATTTTACAAACTTTAGTCATTTTGTTAATGGCCTTCCCACTTGATTTTTGCATGAAATTTGATGCAGGGGTAATCCACATATAGAGGTTTAAGTGTACCAAATTTGGTGTTATTTCAATAACATTTCGATATCCAAATGATGCTACAAAAATTGCTTTTAAAATCTGGAAATTCACTGTTTTAGTAGTGAAAATTTACCGAATTTGAATTGCTATATCTTGATACTCAAGATTCCAAATTTAGTTCCGTTTGTTGTGTTCGAAACTTTGTTTGGAACTCTTATTGTGCTACGAATTTCAAGGGCTGATTCATTTTTTGTGAATTATGCCGAATTTCCAAAGATGACTGCAAAACCAAGACTGGTTCAAACCTATCCTATTAGAACTGAATCTTTGAACTGAAAAATGAGTGCTTTCCGTTTAGAATCTTGGAAAAGTGTCTTCTAGGAACTTTTAGTACTCTGAACCAAGATTCCAACGGTATAAAATTTCCATTTTTGGACCTACTAAGTACATGTTCTAATTTTTCCTAAATTTGACGCGCAAAACTGAAATTCTCCAACTTGATGGGAAATGAGTTTTTGAAAACTTTTCCCTATCCTTTGATATTGATTGATCGTTTTAAACTCAATTTTATGGAGAAAATCAGTTTCTCTTGTGTTAACAAATCCTCACTTTTGAACCTCGATTTTTTAGTGATTAAAGTTCTCTTTCGAGACAATGACTAGTCTAAATAAGTGTACCTTCTTTCTTGGTTAATACATGATTGTGAGTGAAAGTGTCTTGTTATTTGATCAGGCGCTCAAAGAGATCTTCAAGAGAATCTCGAAGCGGACACCTAAAGGCTTAATTGCTCGCTCACTCACTTTTGCTTTGACTTGGTGAGTGTCAAATGTATGAAGTGTTACTACATGCTTAATTGTTCTCATTAATTGAGTATTTTGAAAGTGTTGAGTCGAGTATGTACTTTATCGCACTCGTTCTCTTTTAAGTGAATTGTACTTGAATTGCATGAAGTGAAGTGTTAAGTGAAGTGTTGCAATAGTGAATTATGCTATGGTTGCATATGTCGATTGGAGTGAATCTCCTCGACTTATAGTGATAATATTGGGGGATGCCCAAACTCATCAGCCGACCTTGCGACTCGAGCCAACATGGGATTGGT